GATTCTAGGACTGCAGCAGGGGAAGGAATATACAAGTGTCAAGTCTTTGAGATATGGACATTTGATGATAATGACTGATCAGGTCTAATACCTTGACCTCTTTTGTTCTTGTTTTGCTTCTCCTTTTTGTTGCCTCTTGTATTTCAGTTCTGAATAGAGGCTTTCCAGTTTGCACTAAATACTAATCCCTCAAGAAGCAGGATTTTAATTTCTATACTTTATGCAGGATCATGATGGTTCCCATATTAAAGGCTTGTTGATCAATTTTGTTCATTCTTTCTGGCCTTCATTGCTAAAAGTCCCTTCATTCATGGTTGAGTTTATAACTCCTATTGTGAAGGTTTGCTCATTTTCCTAACTAGTCTTTTTCTTAGTAAAACATCTTTTTGGGGTAAGCTTCCACCTTCATATCCTTTTTCTCTGCACAGGCTACTCACAAGAATGGAACCGTGCTATCTTTCTATTCCATGCCTGAGTACGAGTCATGGAAGGAAAGTTTGAGGGGTAATGCAAGTGGTTGGTCAATTAAGTACTATAAGGTTCGTTTTCTTGTTCGATTTTATAATAAGGGAAGCAGGTGTTACATAGAATATACAATTGTCTAGTGGTTCTATTTTTCGTATTTCTTTTGTGTTAAACTGTAAATGCCATACCTGTCCCTGCAGGGGTTGGGAACAAGCACATCAAAGGAAGGGAAGGAGTACTTTAGCAATCTTCACAAGCACAAAAAGGAATTTATGTGGGAGGATGACCAAGATGGGGATGCAATTGAGCTTGCATTCAGTAAGAAGAAGATAGAAGCAAGGAAGAACTGGTTGCGGCAATTTGAGGTTTGTGTTCAATCAAATTCGTAGAAACACTTGTTTCCTAGAGAATTATGATTGGAAAATAGCATTTTAACGATATCTTATTACGCTAATGATTGGCAGCCTGGGACGCACCTGGATCATAATGAGGTGGTCATAAAATACAGTGACTTCATTAACAAGGAGCTTATATTGTTTTCAATGGCTGATCTCCAAAGGTCAATTCCTTCAATGGTTGATGGCCTAAAGCCTGGTCAAAGGAAGATCCTTTTCTGCTCTTTCAAGAGGAATTTTGTTAAAGAAGCAAAAGTTGCCCAGTTTTCAGGATATGTTTCTGAGCATTCAGCTTACCATCATGGTGAGCAGAGTCTTGCCAGTACCATCGTAGGAATGGCCCAGGATTTCGTAGGTAGTAATAACATAAACCTTCTCCAACCAAATGGCCAATTTGGCACTCGTAACCAGGTGAGCTAACATGCATCTTTCTTCTTAACTTTGGATCAAGCTCGCAGCCTTGCAAAGTTTTAGTAGCTTATTTTATGCACAATGAGTATTTTTACAGGGAGGCAAAGACGCTGCAAGTGCCAGGTACATATTTACCCGACTATCTCCCATCACAAGATACTTGTTTCCAAAGGATGATGACAGTCTTCTTGACTACTTGAATGAAGATGGACAATCTATTGAACCCAGTTGGTAAGTTGTAAATATAATAATGAAAATCATCTACTACAGCATGATGAGTAACTGAAGCTTATGATTTCTCTTCTGGTGGTTAGGTACATGCCTATCATACCAATGGTCCTTGTGAATGGAAGTGAAGGAATTGGGACAGGCTGGAGCTCTTACATTCCAAACTACAACCCCAGAGAGATAATTGCAAATGTTAGGCGGTTGTTAAATGGTGAAGAAATGGAGCCCATGCATCCTTGGTACAGAGGATTTAAGGGAACAATCGAGAAAACTGCATCAAGGGAAGCAGGCACAAGCTACACTGTTTCTGGAATTATGGAGGAAGTTAATGAGACCACACTGAGGATTACAGAGCTGCCAGTGCGTAGGTGGACTCAAGATTATAGGGAATTTTTGGAATCCGTGGCAACAGGGAACGATCCCTTTATCATGGTAAGGTGTTACCAGCTTCCAAGTGGTTCTTTCGAGCTTTCATTTCATTTTTTTCTCCCTTTTCTCATAGATGATTGTGCTGTTTGCAGGAATTTAGGCAGTACAGTGATGATACAAATGTTCATTTTGAAGTTCTTTTGACTGAGGAGAAGATGATGATGGCAAAGCAAGATGGTTTAATGAAGAAGTTTAAATTAACAACCACAATTAGCACCAGCAATATGCACTTGTTTGATCCAAAAGGCGTGATTAAGAAATATGACACACCAGAACAAAGTATGTATAGTATGCAGTAGTCTTTATTATGTTTACAATACTTTTTTTAATCCTCAGTTGTTAAAGGTTAATTTTATTGCTTCTATACAAACTTGGTATGCTTACCACCACCTATGCACTTCTACTTGCAGTTCTTGAGGAGTTTTTCCACATAAGGCTTGAATTTTATGAGAAAAGAAAGGTAATATCATTTGAGTCGTAGGATTTACCACATGTCCTCAAGGACCTCAACCATTTCAACCTTTTATATTTTGGAGTACAGATACTTAGTACCACCTTTTATAATACTTGCAGAAAGTTTTGTTGGACAATCTTGAAAGGGAGTTGCTGAAATTGGATAACAAGGTTAGGTTTATCCTTGGGGTTGTAAGTGGAGATATCATAGTGAACAACAGGAAGAGAGCTGAGCTTTTCATTGAGCTGCAAGAGAAAGGTTTCACTCCATTTCCAAAAAAGTCTAAGACAATTGAAGCAGCAGTTGCTGGTGCAACTGATGATACAGAAGAAACTGAGGAGACATCTGAGGCTCTTAGTGCAAAAGGAGTGCGGGGCAGTGATTACGACTACCTGTTGTCCATGGCAATTGGGACACTGACCCTGGAAAAGGTTCAGGAATTATGTGCTGATAGGGATAAACTTAAGGGAGAGGTTGAAGATCTTAGAAAGGCAACTCCGAAGTCTTTGTGGAGGAAAGATCTTGACTCTCTTGAAAAGGAACTTAATGTATGTACAGAATTTAGAGTTTGTCTTCATTGATAAGTTGTTTTGTGAATGTACTTGAACTTCTGAGTGTTTTTTCTCTATAATCAGGAGGAAGATCAAAATGCTGCTCGTGAAGAGGAGGCAAGAAAAGAAATGAAGGGCAAAGTGATGGGTAATGTTGGAACGAGAGTTCAAAGAAAACCACCAAAAGCCCCACGGAAGACTACTAAGAAAGCTGGCACTGTTGAAGCAATTCCAGAAGGAATGGGAATGTCTTCTAGTTCTGCAATGGAAACAGGTAAGAGGCGATCTCTTACTCGCTTCTTTTTAAATTATTTGATAACTTTTTTTTTCCTTCAAAATGATTATTATTTGCTATTTCCAGAGATTGTTTCTGAAGTGGTGCAACCAAAAGGACGGGGAGGTGCCAAGAAAGCTACTGCTAGAAAGGTCTAATCCGCTTCTACATTTGTAGTAGTCTGTAAGTCCTCTTGTCTGAAACCATTTTTGCTGATTGGTTTTGCTTTCTGTTCTTCAGCAGGATATTGATAATGAGGATGAAGATGAAGAACTTGGCCTGCCTTCATTAAGAGAAAGGCTTGCGAAGTATAATCTTGACTCTTCTCCTGAACAATCTGCAGGTATGCTTCCACCACCTTCTTGATGTTTAGTTTTATACACGCATGTCACTAGCAGAGATGGCCGACCATCTATTACGAATGGCATCGGAAGATGACTTGTATTATTTTAACATGGCAGCCACGGAAACTGAAGTTCCCCAGGTACCTGCTGCCAAGAAAGAACCGAGCAAAAGGGCTGCTGCAAGGAAGAAGCAAGTCGTAACTCTATCCGAGGATTCAGACAGTGATGATGTGGTTGAACTGGATGATGAAGACTTTGACATGGAAGAAGAAGAAGCTGTCCCAGAAGTGGGAAAGAAGAAGGGAGGAAGAAAACCAGCTGTAAATGCCAAAGCAGCTAAGCCCCCTGCTCCAGCAAAGAAGAGAGGACCGGCCACCAAGAAGTCTCAGGCATCATTAGGCCAAAAGCTCTTAACAGACATGTTAAAGCCTGCAGAAGAGCCAGGGATTTCCCCGGATAAGAAAGTGAGGAAGATGAGGGCATCTCCATTCAACAAGAAAAGTGGGTCTGTGTTGGACAGGATCGGCAAGGGGAGTGAGGCATCTAACAGTGAAGAAACTCTTCCTTCTTCTACATCGGAGAATATCGAAGACTCCGCAGAGGTTGTACCGGCAAGGCCAAGACCCCAGAGGGCAAACCGGCGTCAGGCAAAGTTTATTCTCAGCGACTCCGAGAGTGATGATGCTGCCAATGATTCCGACTTTGATGAAGATGAAGATGAAGAATGAATTAAGATTGTCTTGTCTGTAACTAGAACTTGAGATTTGTATGGGAAACTGAGAATCACTTTTCCCCTTTGTCTTTTCATTCCTACCATATCGCTGATCACTGATCAGTGCTTATTTCAGCATCAGAACATTTGTCCCCCCCACCCAAAAAAAAAAGAAAAAGAAATTCCTAAAATTCAAATTTTCTTAGTTTTTATTATTATTATTATTTTACGTTTTTATGAAAAAGTAGAAAAGTCTCTTAAAAAAAAAAAATTCAAATAGGAGGCATAGTTCTTAATATTAAAAGATTTATAATTTAAATTGTGCAATTAAACTTATAAATATAGTTAATATTTAAAACAATTCAAAATTCAAGATTTTTTCTTGATAATTAATTTTGAACAATTTTTTAAACTGCATAAAACATTATTTTAACAATATACTCCATACTAAAATTTTAAAGAACGAACAATTTAAAACAAACTCTTCTTATTAATCTACATTATCTAATAAAAAAATTATTTTATAATTCAATACAAACAATATAGAAGCCCTTATCTGAGTGAAATGAATGAAAAAAAATAATTATTTAAACAAAAAAACTTTTGAGTTTGGCGGTAATTTCCCAATCAAATTTGCCGCTTTAAATTAAATTAAAACAAAAAGAAATAAAAAAAAAATTAAAGAAAATTTGAAACAAAATCAAGCGTCTACCCAGAGTCCTCTTCAAAGTTCCCGCCACCATAGCAAAGAAGAGAGCTCGCGTCTTCACCGATTCAGAAAACTCACCACTCAATCTCCACTCCGGAGCTTCGACGTAGTCTTCACCCCGATTTCCTTTCTAATTCCCTAGTCAATTAAGCTCCGATTGAGCCAAATTAGTTCGCAGTTGGAACCCTAGATCTCGTCACAGGGATGGCTGGTCAATCCGATCCCCATGTGTCTCTCTTTTCTGCAGAGGAGGTTTTTCTTTTTCTCTCCACACTACGTATATTTTAAAAATGTTTGTGTATGTATATGCTGTGTTCGGATCTATATTGTTAAGTGGATTTGGGTTAATATCAGGTGGAATTTATTGCGGAAGACGAAATGGTGGAGATTGTGCCGAATATGACAATTGAACGTCTCAATTTCATTTCTGTATGTTTCTTCTCTTTACCTCTTACTACGCTGGTCTTTTTTGGAGGGAAAGAAATCGGTTTCATGAATGCTTGATTTGATTTTATTCCAGGGTGATTTTGGGCCCTTCTTACCCCTAACAGTGAATCAAGTGCCTCTGTGGCTGGCGGTAGCTCTGAAGAAGCGAGGAAAATGCGCAATTCGGCCTCCTCATTGGATGTCAGTTGGTTAGTTTTTTCCTGTCCTGCTCTATATGTGCATTGTGCATGCATTTGTAGTACTAGTGAAATAAATCTCTGAATGCCAAATTGATTGTGGATGTTGATATGGATACCCTTTTCCTTGTATCTGGTTTTATTTATTTATTTATTTATTTAATTTATGATTTTAAAGTGGTAAATTATGTATTTGAAAGTGTGTTTTCGTTTTCTGCTTGTGGTATAGAAAATTTGACCAAAGTATTAGAAGAAGAACGAGACTCACAAGGGGCATTTCAGGCACTGCCATTCCATTATGTGGAGATTTCAAGACTTCTTTTTGATCAGTAAGTCTTAATATAATTTTATCTTATTGTAGTGTTTCATCCCTTCGAAGATATTGATGTCTATTGTAATTTTTGTGGGTGGTAGTGCACGCGAAGACATTCCTGACATATATTTGGTGAGTCTGTGGGTTCTTTTAACTGGTGTTAATTGTGCATTTGGATTGTGTAAGAACTTCTATACAAATCATTTATGTAGGTAAGGTCTCTTATTGAAGACATTAGGGATGTACGGCTTCACAAAGTTGAGACCAGTTTAGAGAAGTTTAGTGGTACATCTGCTGTGAAGGTATTCTTTCCTATCCCTATTATTCATGGCGTTGGATTTGGAGGATTAGCTTGACCAACATTCCAGGAAAAGAAAACTTTGTAGCATGTGTTTGGGATTGGGAGGCACTCTAAAAATATCAGTCTGGTTATGTAATTCGTGACATCCTTGGGCACACTAGATTTCTACAATATCCTTTTTATTGAATATCTATCCTGTGTCATGGTTATGAATGTTTCCTATGTAATTTGTTCCTAGGCCTCTAATGCATTTGAGTTGGTTGCAGATTCCAAATTTATCTGCCATGGAAGTGAATATAATCCGTCCATTTGTTGGGAGAGCTCTACAGGCATTCTATAAGCATGATAATCCAGAGAAAATACCAGATATAGATAGAGTTTCCAGTGGGCAATCCCGAGTAGCAAATAGCGAGCCACCAAGAGTAAGTTCTCCTTTAGCTTGTCATATCTATTTTTTTTTAAGGCATATGATGTAACTAGTAACAGTGGCTTAAGCAATGGTCGCTTTACTTTTCAGATAAAACTTTTCTACTCACCTATTGATTATGAATTTGTGATTTTGCTTTACAGCGGCCTTTGAGGAGATAACAAATCATTAACTTCTCTAGTTGGATTCCAATCTTTAAATCTGGAATTTCAGCCTGCCTGCCAGTATTGAAGGTAGTTCTTATTCTCTTTGAAACCATTTCAAGAGAATGCTAACCAGTGCCTTGCTCATTGTAGTTTTAAAATAATTATAGTCTGTGTTGAATCCTTTGTTGGGTAATGTTATTAACTTATTATTATTATTATAAACCGTTAAGATTTTTTTTTTTTCCCATAAATCAGTGATAACTTAAATGCAACCAATTTGGATCCGTGGAAAATTGATTGATAGTTAGTGCAACATGGCATTGCACTATACTTTTTTAGCTGGTAGATATCTCTAGTGTTCATTTCAGACCTATACTATCATATTTCAAGAATCTAAATTGAATTGTAATTTTGAAGTCTATTTCAAGAAGAAGTTGAACCGTGAGATGTCTAGGTGATGTATAGGAACACAATTTTAAGGATTATCAAATGTAGCTCTAGCTGTCAGCAGCAACGTTCAAGTTGTTAATTATTCATTTCTTAGTGGTTATCTCTGTAACTTTTCTTTTCTCAGTCATTTCTTATGTCAACTCCGAATTGATTGTTACCTGTATTGATTTACTACTTCTTCTAGTCCACACCCCTTATTATTTAATCTATGTCTGGTGAGAACATTTTGTCCTTATCATTGCTTTATCATGCATGCAATTTGAATTGTCATTATTGGGTTTTATAATGCTATCCTGAATACATTTTGATCTACTCATGTTTGAGAGAGATATGTCAATATTGGTTATGTGGTGGTGCTTTAACCAGCCCTCTAATGCATTCTAGAAATTAGCATTTCCCTTTACCAAAGGCATCAGAAATAGGTTGTTTGGTCATGAAGTAAACATGAACCTACAAAATCAAGTGGTTCAAGGCATATTCTCCGTTTCTATCACTTTCTTCAATTCCGTATGCCCCATGGCTATCCCATGCACCAGAGATCTATCAGGTTTATCTTAAAAGATGAGATCTGGAGAGGAAAACACTGAACCAACCACGCACACCTCATGTTTCCTTATCAGCCCCCTAACTTACCTAGTGGGAATTAATGTGGTAGTTGTTTGCACATGTTGTGGGTCGTCTAGACTTTGTGCCACCAACTGAAATTTTAAGTTGTGACGCTTGTGTCGAGACTAGTAGTTATCAGATTGTAACAAGGATTCAAGATAACATTGCATCCTCTGCATTTTATAACTCTCGCCTTTTTAATCCTTCAAAGATTTAAGATTTTAGTTTCTAAACATTTTTAATTTAGCTTTCAAGTGTATATTTTTATGAAGTTATTGTTTATCCGTTTTATTTTTAAAAAATTAAAAAAAAAAAAAATAAAAATATCTTAATTCATGTTTTAAAAATAAAATACTTTAATTTTTTTCAATGTGTTTATTAAAATGAAATAATATTTTTTTTAATCTTTATTAGATAAGGCAGTTAAGTATTATTTTTTATTTTTATTTAGGTGAAAGATTGATTTATATATAAATTTTATATATTTTATTTATATAAAATATTAATTAATTATTTTTTAATCTTTAATAATTAAAATTTATTTACATTTATAATTCAAATACTCTTATTATTAGAGTCGACATCTTCTCACTCAGCTATATAGTGATTGATTAAGCTAAATTTTTCAGAAATTGAAATTCAAGATTTCAACTTGTTTATTTCTGAAGCAGTCTGATTGACGGATTCATGGTGGTAAATATAATTCAACTGCCGGCAGTTTCTAAATTGAAAATGATTAATGGTGTATGATTGATCTCCGCCTGCAAATGATTGCCATGTGGAGATATTAACGTTGCAAGATTCTAAAACATCATTGTACGAGCAACGCAAATTTTTTAAACGGACAGAGAAATAAAAAACCCAAGCCAACTCATGCGTTCAACTATTAATTATTATTGTTATTATTTTTATATTGGTTACATACCGACAGATAATATTTTTTTATTTTTTATTTTATTTTATTTATTTTATTTAACTTATATGTTATACAATTTAAATTTAATATTTTTTATTTTTAATAAAAAAATTATTATTAAATTATTTAAATCATTAATATTATTAATTAATTGTCATTTTTTAAAAAGAGTTAACGTAAGAGTCCTTTATCTTACCCACTAAAATGCTCTAATATGAGTATTTTTTTTTACAATTAACAGTAAGATTAAAAATTATTTTATATTTTAAATTATATTATAGAGATTAATGTATGTTGATATTGATTCAAAAAATTGGTGTTTTAATTTATATTTAAAAATTAAAATTTTAATTTAAAATTTAAAAATTAAAATTTTAATTCAAAATTTAAAATTTAAAATAGTTTTTAAATTTAAATATTAATATTTAATAAGATAAAATTTTTAATTTTTAATTAAATTTTAATTAAGTAAAAGGATGTAATTTAAAATTAAGAATTTAATTTTTTTGATAATTGGAATTGATATGTATTTTTGTTAAATTATATTATATTATAAAATATAAAATTTTGAAT